CGAGGGATCATTACTACTACCGGATTTTCGGTCTCATCTCAGCCTTCCTCGATTCAAGTACGAATCCTCTGCTTCCAGTAGTATGGGCCCCTACTACCTTCCACATCTATTCGTACTTTCCTCAAGAACTGCCTCGACTCCACCTAGCCACTACTACTGCTGCTGATCTCTACTGCTCTCATCCTAGGCTCGCCCTAGGGAAATCTCTGACTCAACCCAACTAGTCCTCAGCTGCTGAAGGCCTCCTTGTAATGCCAATAAACCATTACCTGAATACCATCACATGTGGCGAGGCTCAGATAATCCTTTGAGGAAAAGACTCGTCCCCACAACGGTTAGACTCAAACAAGAGCTGCGCAGCAGGGACAAATCCAACGCTCTGAGATTATTAAACCTTGTTCACATGTGATGTGGCATATTCACCTAATAGCTAAATCCCATCACTCAGAGTCCCACAAAGCACGAAGCAAACAGCATTCAGACACGGAAAACTACTCAAGCAATTCTATCCTCATAATGAGAAATTGTACTAGCATACAATACTAAGCTCATGCTATCAGGCATAACCTAAACATGCTATCCTACGATTGTATACTCAATTTCTAGCATGCAATTCTCATAAGGTTGAAACACATAAATCAGGCACATAAGGCATCCTCCTAGATCCTTAGTCCTATACTAGCATGCTGTTATACTAAAACTGAAAATGATAATCATAAACTTGTATGGGTAATTTGGGAGTACTTACTTGAGCTCGGCTGATCGTATGCACCACACCCTTTTCTCTTTATCAAAACTCTTTTCTTTCTAATTTCCTTTAAAAAAAATGTTTTTCTTTTAAAACCTTTTACCATTTCCTTAGTTTGAGTTCAGAAGCACGAAAGAGTGTATCCGAATCCCTCAAACCAAGGCTCTGATACCAACTTGTAACATCCAAAAATACGAACCAAAAATTTTTGTTTTAATAATAATAAAAATCATATACTGAACGTCATATCATAAAACCATACGTCAAATATCTCAAATCGTAATAAAATGTTGTGAAACAGCTATATCAAATCAGACTATGAATCAGTACAAACTCCCATGACAAAGACTGAAGTTGTGGTGTGTGCGATGCCATCAACCCGAGCTCTTCACTTTATTTCCGGAACTACCTGAAACCAAAACTGAAACTGTAAGCATGAAGCTTAGTGAGCTCCCACAAACTACCACATACCATACAACACATATAAATCACATACTGGGCTTTGCCCACTGCATCAGACCAAAGTCCGGAAACTGCATCGGACCGAAGTCCGGAACTGACTCGGACCTTGTCCCCTGCATCAGACCGGTATCCGGAACTAGCTGCATCGGACCGAAGTCCGGAACTGACTGCATCGGACCGAAGTCCGGAACTAACTGATCATAGCATAACATAAACACATATCAAATAACATAACACATATCATCTAGCATAAACACATATATTGCATACCGCATCAGGCCGTAGCCCGGAACACATAACACATAAATCCTGTCTGAGCCACGAAGGCATCAAACATACTAACTACTGCATCGGACCGAAGTCCAGAAACTACTACTAGCTAAACGGGCCGACATTGTGGCCTTAGACTCGTTCCTACTGGAAGGAAACTCACCTCGTAATCTATCTGCTGAATGAACTGCTCGGGAAACTGCCTGTTGCTGCTCCGGTATCTCCCCGGCTACAATTTCCATAAGTACACCTAATCAATCACTGATAACTATACTGAGGGTAAAATGACTATTTTACCCCTGATCAAAGTCAACCTATTGGTCAAAGTCAACATACAGTTGACGTGACTCGTCGAGTTGGGTCACCAACTCGTCAAGTCCTTACTCTCACTTTCTTGCTTCTGCTCGCTACTACTCATCGAGTTTGGCATAGACTCGATGAGTTCCTCTCCGATACTCACACTCAGTTAATCTGCATCCGACTCGTCGAGTTATATGAAAAACTCGTCGAGTCCTCCTTCAACACATGAACACTCTGGCTGTGACTCGCCGAGGTGTATGAACAACTCGTCGAGTCTGTTCTTAAGGTATGAAGATTGCCTTGGACTCGCTGAGTCAGGGCATTGACTCGCAGAGTCTTTACATGAATGAGTCTGATCTCCGTCTCACTGAGTCCTCCCATAACTTACGGATTCCACTCGGCATAACACGTAAAAGGGAAGAACTCGGGGACTCGCAAACCGACTCGTCGAGTCTAAAGAACAACTCGCTGAGTCGGTTGCATGCAACACTACTCTGATGATTCTGCTCAAATTTAATGCATACAACTTATAGATCTGGGTTCATAAAGCTTAGCTACCACGTAAAGTTTCCAACTTTACGTGTACAAATTCATGAAAATGGATTTAAAGGCTAAAAAGACACTTGAAGAAATAGATCTAGGGCTTTCAAGCAAAAAGGCTCCATAAAGGTGTTAGATCCACTACTTTGGGACTGAACCATGGCAAAACCCCGAGTCCAATCACCCCAATGTGATTTCTCTACCATAAATAAGCTAAGGAATGCATAAAATGGTCTAAATGTGATTCAACAAAGGAGAATCAATCATAGCAACATAGGGGATTCGGTTTTACCTCAATAACTCTGCAATAGATGCGAGATCTTGGACCTTCTTCTACTCCCTTGGATCTAGCTACTTCTCTTCCAAAGCTTCAAGATTCACACAATAAATGCTCAAAATGCTCAAGGAAAGGTTAGGGTTTGCTAAATGATGCTCTGAGGGTGAAGGGAAGGAGGTTGGGGCTCATAACATGGCTTAAATAGGGTGCAAAACCTGGGGATTTAGGGTTTCATTCAGACTGAAGGACTCGTCGAGTCCAGAATATGGACTCACCGACTCGCCAACTCAAACGTGCGCGAATCCCGTCTCTACTCGACGAGTCGGGCTACTGACTCGTCGAGTCCCTCTTGAAACTTGAATAAATAATAATATTAAATAACATACCAGAATCGGGGTGTTACAGATACCAAATTGTATTGACCCAAAACTAAAGGGTAAAAAATTCATTTTTCATTATAGTAAAACACACATATTACTTTATCCAATCATTCAAAAACATTGTTTGATTAAAATATTTATCAGAGTTATGTCCGAAAACCACATAATGCAAAAAACACGGGTGTGTGCGCTGCGATCAAGCCGAGCCCTTCCATTCCAAACCCATGATACCTGAAACCGTAAACAAAATTGTAAGCACGAAGCTTAGTGAGTTCCCCAGAGCATACTTCACATAATCCACATAATCTGATGAAGTGATAATTGAGTAAAGAGAATCAAATCATATTAATATCAATATGAAATGAACACGAGGAGTAAATATAATCTTGTTTCAGCTCAATTATACTTCCAACAGTTTTAAAGAGAGTAAAGTAGACAAGTTCTGTAAAGACTCTTATCTATCTCTAAGTAATGTCCCTATTTATAGGAGATGTGAAAGTATACAAAAAATACTAAGGCATAGACATTAAGCTTCGAACATAAGATTCCTTAGTAAAATATTATAAAATATACGAAGGGTACAGACTTCAACTCAATACAATATATCTTCGACCCTTACAATCTCCCCCTTTGTAATGGAGTCAAATTCTCTTAGTTTGTGAAAATATGTATGGCATACATCATCACCCTTCGAATTTGAGTCTACTGAGAAATAATATTCTTTAGCTCCATCATGCCCCCTTCATTATTCTTCTTGAAGTTATTCATACGAACGATGAATTTCGTATACTGGGACGTCGTATACCATTCAACTTCGCTAGCATGAAACAAAAATCTTTTGGCTTTTCCTCCTTTATCCTTTCCAGTAAAGACCATACCAAATAGCTTTAAACAGATCTCCCCATCTGCATACTTCTTCAATTCGGATTGAGACTTTGTCGGTTCCATGGGAGCTTTCACTTTTAATCCCTTCACAGTTGCTAACTCCACATCAGTAAGAGCTAAACATTCATAGTAATTTTCCAAAAATATCTGGATGTGTGCAACTCCAAGTCGAAAAACTTCGGGATTAGTTTCTTGAAGATATGAAGAATTTTTATCTTTTACGAGCAATGCAAATTGTATAAGATCATACAAGTTCATCAATGGAAAGTCATCCACTATAAGATCACGAACTTGAGAATTTTCCCTTGTCACATGGAATCGAAGATTCTGCATCATGTCTTCGAATAGAACATCCATTTTGATATTGATAACCTTCTTTATCTTTATCAAGGACCATATTTCCTCTAGAGCCTTCCCAATAACAACATGAAATCAGTGCTTCATGTAGTTATATTCATCTTCACTCTTGAACTTATCATAAATCTTGAAATGAGGTATTAAGAACATCATTTTGTTGATTGGGAAATCAAATTGGCTCATATCAGCATTTGAAACCACATAAATTTGCTTTGGTTTCTTCTCAAATGCATACATTTGGTTATATGACACATTTGCTTCTATGGTCTCATAGATATATTGTTTCACAGGATCTCCCTTATTTATCCTAGGAGGATCATTTGCTTGTTGCATCATGATGCTTTGAACAACTCTTAATTTTTCTATCTCAGCTTCAGCTTCATCTTTCTTCTCCTCTTTTGACTTTTCAACAACAATTAACTTCCCTTTGTCTATTGAACTATCAATAACATCCATTGTCATTGACACATTACTCACACCTGTAGATGAACCAATCATGATCCCTTTCGAAATTGGCCTGGTGATTGGCATTGAAGTTAAAACAGTAAACGTAACTGGCCCAGTAGAAGAAATAATTGGCTTTGTTGAGGGAATTTTCAAAGGAAAATTTTTTCCAACAACTTTAACATCTCCACGCGAAGCTTCACCACCAACCTTCACATGCGAAGCTTCACCAACTTTCTTCTCTCCCCCTTGCACGCATGTGCGAACAGGTGGGGCATCTGTTGGTAGAAGATTCAATATTTTGGATAAGGGAGCTAACTGTTTATGTAGAACAGCTTCAAACTGAGAAATTTTTTAAGATAGGAACTTCGGGGTAATAATCAAATACGAAGCAGGCTTGAGCACCAAGTCTTTTATTTCCTTTAATAATGAAAGAACCTCCCCCAAACTGTTGACTATCACTTGTAGAAAGTTGACTAATTTGAGGACTCAAACTTTCGTACAACTTGGCATACTTTATGACTGCATCACAAATAATATCCACCTTCTTTTGTCGAGTTGCATAGTCTTTTTTGACACTATCAACCTCTTTGACCATATCATCACGAAGCTCTTGAAGCTTAAAATTTACATCTTCTCGAACCTTTATCACATCAAGAACAAATAATGTATGTCTTTCTTTTTGAACATTTTTGAATTCCTTTACTGCCCCCACAAATTTTGAATAAAGAGAATTCACTCGTAACTCAGTTTTTTGATCAGTATGATCCAACTTCTCTAAAATTCTTGACTCTGTGTCTTTAAGCATGCCAGACACTTTACTCACCATTCGGGCTTCAAATGCTTTCATCAGACCATCAAGTTCAAAACTAGAAACTGAACTACTTCCCCCCATATCTGCTTGAGACTGAATAATGGAATTCATCTTTTTATTCATAATTTTAAACTGCTTCATGGACATGAGCATATGGTCAGGAAAGTCTTCTTCTTCGTCATCAAATTCTAAGGTTTCGAAAGTTCCTCCAAAACCTCTTTCATTTTTAGATTCTTCCATTGATCTTGGTGGATCAGTTGATTGGGATGACAAAATAGAGGTGAAAGGTTGATTGATAATGTTTTCAAAAGTAGGTGACTCGGTGGTTGAAGTGGTAGGTATGATATATGGAGGTAAAGAAACAAAAGCACTAGAAACAGTTTTGATAGGAAGAACAACCGGAGTACCTTGGGAAGATTTTGGTTCTTCTTGATGCAAATCTCCTTCACCCATGTTGACATTTACATCTGTCTCAGATACACGTGTAGTGATGTATGAAGTTCGTACCTCCTCATGAAATGATTTGGCAGACGAATCTTCGGGAGGTATGACCGTAGTCTTCTCAGGAGATGAAGGTTCTATGATAGGAGTAGCTTTAGGAGTTTTAGGCACTTCTTCTTCTTCAGAAGATTGCATTGGAATAACAAGCTGTCTTTTCTTAATCTTCTTTGTCTTCTTAGAAATCCTTTTGGCCATGTCTTCAGCTCTTCGTTTCTTAGATGAAGGAGAAACAGGAGATGGAACTTCTCGTATAAGAACTCCTTGATGAGTAAGATGAGGTTTTCGAACCACACTTCAAGTTGGAGATCTTTTCGAACCGCTATACTTCTTCTTAAGTCTTTGAAAAACACCAGACTTCGATGGAATAGTGACTAAAACTGGTTCATCAACAACAGGTTCATCTGGCTTGCCCAAAACATTCGAAACTTAGTCATCTAGCTTCACAAGTGTTATATGAGACTTTTTTTTCTTCGGTTCTTGAACTGTATGCTCAGGAGTAATTGTGACATTCTTCTTTGATTGTATGGATTTCTTTGAAGGACTTGCATCTTATTTGGCCAATAACTTCCCGGTTTCAATGCGAGGATCAATAGTCGTCATATATTCCACTAACACATAATTTTAGATCAACACGCTTTAACATTGCATCAGGGATTCGTGCAACGTGTGTAAATATCTCAGCATCATCAGAAACCTCCTTAGGAAAGTGATATTTCATGAATTTAGTAGTTTCCTCATCAGCAGACACCTGAATCCCTTCTTTATCATAAAAATATCGAAGAATAAGACTCCAATACCTTGTACACGAAATACCTTGTACAACATTCATGTTTTCTACACTCTTCTGAAATTCCTTCCATAGCTGTGTAGAGTAGTCCATAGGAATATCATAGTACACACCTACAACCATGGCATATACTTCCATCCTTCATTTATCAAGACCAACACTGCGACCAATCAAGAAGTGTAAGTAGATTCCAAATAGAAAATTCCAGACAGTTGGAAGACTAGACTTCTTAAAATCACTTATCTTGGTGAGTGGGGGTTGATGACCCATCTCATTAAACATATGATTGACTTGAGCAAAAGAAAGAGTAGTAAATGGTGGTGAATAAGGAATTTCCAAAATCAGACAGAACAATTTCTTCGTTAAACGAACCTTCTTATCACTAACCAAATTAAATGTAATGACATCTAGGGCTTTGTTGTATGTTGCAATGGATCTTGCTATTGAAATCCAGGATAGAAGAACTGCAAAAGAGTTAAACATGGCGGTTGAAAGAACACAACTTTTGAGAGCAACCACCAACATCTTCAAATCATCAGGATAGAGCGATACGGCTTCTTCAACATGATAGTTTGTTCCTTGAATCTTCATGATCGGTTGAGAAGTAATGTCTTCAGTGGTTTGGGATGGTACATCAATATTAGCATTAGTAGCCATGATTAGGGTTTTGAAAGCTTCTGAAGAACAAATCGATTTTGCAAAGAGAATTTGGGAATATTATTATTTTATTTTCTCTATGTTTTGTAAACCCTAGCTCGCCTCTACAGCGGAAGTTCTTCGTCGAGCTCTGCTGAGACGTGACTTTATTTGAATCATAAACATACATTTGATTCCATCCTGTATTCACTTTCTTACTATTTTTGACTTGTTCGATTTCCATAATCATACCTGTGAAAGATCTAATCGATCTAGAGTTTTATTCTCATCAGATATCTATAATAAAACAAGTTTAGATGACACCTTTCAATAGTTGCAAGAATCTTCAATCTTCAAGAGCTTAGTATCACAAGTGTAATACAAACACCAAGGCAAGAAGATGATTTAGAAGAGAGAATGAGAGAGGCACAATTTCAGCTCTTAGGAACTCTAAGGTTTCTTAGGTAGCCGAAATCTATAGCCCTAGGGTCCCTTAAATAGATGAGTTGCTAGGGTTTCAGTCCAAACCCTAATTGGATGACTTAGACCCTAACCAGCTTTAATAACCTTCTAGAATAAGGCCCCTTGGACAAAATTAGGGTGGGCTTTCACTCTAAATTTCGTCCCCGCTTATATCCATAAGGATTCACAGCCCAAAATCAATTATCTTATTATTGACAGTTCCAGTCCGCCTTATTTAATTAATCTCTTTTAGCCACAAAATTAATTCTTAATTAATTTTTTATCAATATTAATTAAACTATATGATTTTTCTTTTAATATATTATTCATATAATATATTAATAAACCATAATAACCTCTCTCTCTCTCCCCATAAATCATCTTGTCCAGTTGCTTTGGTGAAGGCAACCCTAAAAGACCATGAACAACTGGGTCAAGTACATACCAAATATAGTTATGGGCTTAGACACTAATCCAACATCAAATCCTATCAAAATTGATTAAAAGCCAATAGATTGAGATGACAAATTATGAAAAACTAGATTTTGCATGTTTTATTGCCTTAAAAACCAGGTTATGAAACGTTTGATGAAACATTTGATGATTGTATGGTTATGCTGATATTATTATTGCATTGAATGTTGTGTGATGTTAATAAAGTTTCGATTGATGAATTTTGATAATTGACAATCGTTAGAAAATGTTGAGATCGATAATTTTGGGCGATTTTTACCAGTTGTTCTTGAGATTATTGAATCTGGACTACTGAAAAGGTTGAACAACAATTTCTAGTTCTTAGGATTGAATTTTTTTTCATCACGAATCAATGTTTTTAGTTGAAAATCAAAGGTTTTTTTATGATGAATATGTGATTTTTGATGAATAACTGAAATGTTTGATGAAGAATTAATAATTTGGATAAATCTAAAAACATTACTCATATTAGATTTTTACAAAGCATAAAAAGAAAGATTAGGAAAATACCTCTATCTACTTAAATAATTAAAGCGTCTTTTTTTTTATTATATAAAATTAGTGGTTTAGGTTTGTTCTTACATTCTCAATTAGGTATACATTCTCATTTAAATGATGAATTTTTAATTTTGGATGAAATTTTGAAACATTCTATGGTGAACTGATGATTTGGATAAGTCTAAAAACGTTAATCAGACTAGATTTTTACAAAATATAAAAAAAATTGATTATCAAAATAACATTATCTAATTAAAAAATAAACAAAACACCTTTTTATATAGAATGAATGGTTCAGGTTTGTTCTTGAATTCTTAATTACATATTTATTTTCATTTTAATTAATTAATTAATATATATATATATATATATATATATATATATATATATATATATATATATATATATATATAATTTGGATTGAATGAGGACTACGAGTACAAATATTTACCGTAACATTTAATTTTATTTATTATCAAAATCTCTTGTAATTATAATTATGTACGGGATTTTTGTATTTTTTTGGAAAAACTTAATTGTTTGGAAGGTTAAATATACAAAATAAATTAATGAAAAAAAAATAAAAAAGAATGGAACCTGTCCAACAAAGGGTAACCATGGTTACCCCTATATATCTTACAAAATGGTCAAATAGACCCCATAAATTTATTTTATTTCCATAAAAAACAAGAAATTAAGTTAGGCAATTGATTCAATCAAAATTCAAAACACTGTAGTGTTACATGTCATTTCTCTTGTAATTAATTATATAGAGACTAGGATTGCGCTTCCTTTTTAAACTAATAACTAACTAGGAGGTGAGGTGAAAAATAATTATTTGTGTTTCCAAAAAAAGAATATAACTTAGTACTTAATAGTACATACTAAAAAAAAAAGTATACTTGTTACTCTACACAAAGTGCGAATAAACTTTAAATAAACTATATGCCTCAACAAAGTTGTATTTGCACTATCACTTACATTGTGCGGTTTCTTATTTTATTTTATTTTAAAATTTCAGCAACGTTGTGAGTGGGATGCTTCAGTTCTTTAAGCTTTCTTTGCTCCGCAATTTAAGAAAAAAAATATATAGGAAAAGTTCGCTACTAGGTTTTGTTTATTTGCTTCTATGAAGTTAATTATTTCTAAAAACACCGATTTACTTCGTCTAGATTTGTGGTCAAAAGGTAGATCAGTGATGAATAATTAATCAGAAAAAGGGAATATGTACATCTTATGGGATGGTGGCTGATGGTGGTTTTCTGATAGAAGGACATGGTGCATGTCGGATTTAGTTTTCTCCAAAAGATGCCTGCGAGAAAAAAAAAAAAAAAAAAGGAGATTTTGAAGGAATATATTTGGTTTCCTCAAGTGATGTCCATTATCAACCATTTTTAATCAATCTATCAATTCCTTAACTCAATCCCATATTCCATGAAAAATTTTCTTTTTACTGTAGCACTTGTCAGCACCCATGTTGATGCCACAATCAAGCATGTAGCAATCCCATCTGAGCTATAAAAAAAACTCATCCTAAAACTCATCAACCTTTGTTAAGAGGACTTTAGTTAAAGACTGTATTTTAAAAGAGTAAGGAGAATAAATACATACATACATACATACATGTATATGTAAGTATTACTTTTTATATGCTTTATGGTAAAAAGATGCGGTAAATCTGATGGTAAATGTGGATTGTATTAAGTAATTAAGGTATCTGATACTTTCGTCTTAACTAATTATCCACGATGTCGATGCAAGTAACTGCTGTTCAAACATTAGATGAATATTTTACCATGGCTAATTAGATGCGATTCTCATAGTGAAAAAGGTACTTTTTGACATTGCTTCCACGTCCATGTCTGCATATATATCCAATACAGTATAAGTAGAGTCCTCATCTTCCCTCCCTGTGGGCGTGTGTGAAATTAGCTACAAGCATCGACCCTTAAGCAACACAAACACAACACGGTTTGGAATATATTATATATATATATATATACTACAAACACGTAAACTGAAGGAAGAGATGCCTTCTCTAACATCTGAGAATATCTTCTAGACTTGGTTTCCTTTTCTCGAAGTTCTCTCTCCCAACTCTTATTAATTTAAATATTTAAACTTCATTACATATGGCAAACCTACGATCTGAGAGCCTATTTGGATCTTTCATCTCTGCGGTGATCAGCTACTGTTTCAGTTATCAAGCAAGCTACAAGACCAAAGACCACCTCATACACGTGCACGACATGCCTAAGGGTCGTCGCCCTCTTTCTTTACAGGTTAATTAATTAATTTCCTGGTATTTCTTATTTGATTCCCTACCTATATGGATTTC